AGATGCTACTGCTGAATTATCATTATATGGCAAGATTTTTGTATCATCAGCGAATGTTGCAATGGAATTACTGCTAATTTCAGGAAAATTTGCCATATATAGAAGGTAAAACAGAGGCACTAAAACACTTCCTTATGGCACCTCTGTTTCCATCGGACATAAATTGGTGTATTTATCTTCAATTTTTGTCTGAAATATTCTATTTTCGAGTTATGATTTTATTAGTTGTATGTCAAGTTCTTCTTTGTTTTATATAATATTTGAACGCTAGGTCTTTGTAGATGGTATTTACAATGGTGTTTGTAAGAAAAGTCAAACTTATGGTCTGTTTATTGACGCTGTATGGGTCTCTATAACTTGATTTATTTGGCAGGTTTTCCTGCTTTGCTATTATTATAATTTGTGGAAATTTCCACTGCTTTGGAAAGTAACCTGTACGTAGTATACTATTGAATATTTGGGTAATTGTTACATCTCCTTTCATTGGAAGATCTTTCAATTGTTTTCCTCTTATTAAGTCATAGACTAATGTCTTTTTTTACTTTATTTGACTTTGATTGGAATGAGAAGATAAACAAGCTTTAACTACCTTGTCTTCTTCCATTGGAAGTGGTTTAAAAATTCTTCAGAAATGATCTGCAAACATATCTGCTTTATCACATGATGTTATTCTCTTTTCCATTGGCTTTTGGTACATAAGGAAGTCTTGTATCAGGAATAATCTGTTGCTTCGGTGAGCATTAGGTTCAGCTTCATTTTTAATACAAGTAATATAATCTGCATAATCTCACAATAAGTGAATAAACTTTATTAATATTAATAAAATAATTTTGATCAATTAGCAAAGTTAAAAATTTGATTTAAATGATTGTAAGCCTTCCTATCTAATATTGTATAATTAATCACAAAAATAAAATTAATTGAAAATTGTAAATAATATTGAATATGTTTCTATTTCTAAACAGTTACATAAAAGTTTATTTTCATGCATAAACAACCTAAATTTTGGGTAGCAATGTTATATTAAGCTTTACTACTTAAGTTTAATGGATTTTTGGAGTACGTCACGAGGATTTTGAAATAAATATTAAGAACATTTCTTCGAGACTTAATATGTTTGGAGAAACCCAGTTTTTCATTTGAACAAAAACAAAAATTTTGTAGACACTGTGGTGCTTCCAATTTGCCTTTGTTTTCACACGTTTTCGGAAATCAATCTCTATTTAGTGAATGACTTGGGGAAATGATAGATGCTGTTTACGGACTGCGTCCATGTTTATTTCAACTGGGTTTTTCGAGTGCGAATAACGAACGTCCGTTCAGATGATGAGCAAACTAATTGAACTTTGATGCATTACCGCTTTCCTTTCCGAAATTGTCATCCAGCCAAAACCGATTCTATAAATCCCATTCGGTTGCCGGACATGACACTTCTAACTGGTCCATTCAATCCAAGATATTGCTAATCTTAATTAAGACTAAAATGTGAGTAAATTATATTAGTTTAGTTAAAGTTAATCTAAAGTTTATAGTCTAAACTATCTTTAAAGACTTTACTTAAAATTGTTATATGTTGAATGACATTGGAATATAGCGAATTGATATGTTTAGAACGTTTAGTATTTCTGTAGGCAAAAAAGTTTGGCGCCAAGTGTTTAAATGATGACGGTTTTTGTCCGTTGTTAGTCTGTCGTTACCGCGCGTTAAGCAGATAAATATATGTTTATTATTTCAACAACTCTGATTCTACATCAATTTATTGTTCTTATTATTGTGACTCTTTCGCTTTCCTTCAACAACAAACGGACTTCATTTTACTTATAATTGAGTGCGGGCAGCAGCAAAATTCACCCAATAAAAAAGTTTTAATTGGGAAAGTGTGCAGTGGAAATTGAATTAATTTTCAAATTTATGCGCTCCGTGCTTATGATGTCCCGAGTTAACCGCGTCGTAACTTGCGTTATATATATATAATCCTTGTAGTCCGCTTGCTTCCTTAATTACACGCGCCTTTTATGTTCTTCCGTCTGCTCAGAAACTTTACAAAAAAAAACAATTAAATAATCCTTTAAAAATTTAATATAGCTTTAAAAAACATTAAGAAAAACATTATTAAAAGCATTTTTAATGTTTTTAGAAGTCGTAATTTATTTTTAGAATGTTTATGTTTTATAACAATAAAATTGTAAAAATTGACTTGTGAAATCATTGAATTTGTTTTTAAAGATATGTTATCAGAAAACATTAATTATCTTTACAAATATTATAAACATTTTATTAAATAGGATAAAAACTGCCCTTGAAAAACATTGAATTTGTATCAAAAAAACATAAAACATATCTTAAATATAATCATATAAGCATTAGAAGAAATATATGATTTTGAATAACAAATATGACATATAAAAATATTGAATGTGAATTTAAAAAACATTAAAAATACAGTGGAACCTGTTTTTGTGGGGTCCTTTATTATGCGATTTTTTTTAAACGGTATAAATCCAACCAATTACAACGGCGTTGGCACCGTTGTACTGTTTTCTATCAGTATGCATATGTACAGCCAGCTCAAACTATTTTGTTAGTAGATTTTGAACCAATTCATCATAAGAAGACGCACGTTTTGGATTAACACGAGTAGCAGTGAATTATGTATGTGCATTTTGACAATGTATGTGCAATATGTATAATGAGAAATTAAATGTTTTTAAAATGTTTCCATGTGTAATTTAATTATTTATTTTATTTGGATGCATGTATTTCCTAAATCTTTGACGTATTTTGTATATCAACGACACTATATCAACGACTCTATATCAACGACAACCATGATCCCGATTGTATCAGAATCTTAACAACCATAATTTAAAAATGTTATTGTAGACATTTTTGATATAGTCGGGATTTGATACAGTCGGGATTATGGTTGTCGGGATTTTAATATAGTCGGGATTATGGTTGTCGGGATTTCGATACAGTCGGCATTTCAAACGTGGGTATTTTGAACTTCGGGATTTCGAACGTCGGGAATTTGATTGACGGTGTTGCGGTTGTCGGGCCTGCGATTGCCACCGCGAATGTACATGTTTTAAAAACAATAATTTATTTTCAAAAAACATGAATTGTGCATTTAAAAACTTTAAAACTAACCTTAAAATTGTAAAAATAAAGTATGACTTATAAAAACATTAAATGCAAAAACATAAATTAAAAACAATAAATATGTTCTTAAAAAATATAAATATTCATTCAATAAATATAAAATGTACGTTTCAAATAAACTTTCAACATAATAATAAAATTGTAAAAATAAAATATGTCTTGTACAAAGATTGAATGTACACTTAAAAAACATTAAATATAATTTGAATACTTGTTCATAAAGAACATTAAATGTTCATTTAAAATAACATTAAATATACCTACAAAAAAATAAACATTAAAAATATCTTTAAAGTTTTTTTTTTAGAAATTCCGCAATATTTGTTTGTAGTTCGGAACAACCGACACCAAGGATGCCTGTCATTATTTATGTACGGTTGTGTTTTGCTTTATTTTCATAAGGTCCGTGTTTATATGTAAATATCGCGTTACCAATTTACGGTGAGTTACGGAAATAGCGAATGCAATTAATGAACGTAAACATATATAATACATGTCGACTTACAAAAATAAATACGGATGATGATTTTGATTTATTGGATTTTCACTACGATTTATTATTAATATTATTTATGTATAGCAAAAAGTTATTACTGTGTGATTTATAATTTTGACCTAGAAACAGATATACCTAAGATATCTCACTACGAGCATAAAGTAATTTTTAAATTTGTTTGCATATTTTTTATTTTCTAGTAATTTGTTCCAAGCTGCATTTTGGCACCAAGCTTATGGATTTTTCTATTCGTGTTGAAGCAATTTCAAATGCATGAAAAAATATCATTACGGGGAGCTTATTTCAAATGAGAATGCGTTTTTTTCTCACTTCTTTCAGTGATATTTTGGTCGCAGTCATTTCATTTTATTTTACACAAATTTTGTAAATTTTAATTGAATATTATTGATTTTTTTTTCTTCATTTTACAATAACAAAAAATAGATTTAATTTTATAATGGAATAATTTAGGGTAAAATCTGAAAACAACAAACAAAATATTACTTTTGTGTTTAATAGCTTAATAGTAATGAATATGTTAATAATGACTTTAACTCTCATTTGTTTAGATCTTAAAATTAATGGTATTATTAAAGGCAGATTACTAAACTTTTGTCTTTAATAGATTATTCGTAAAGAATTTATTAATACTGACTGTTTTTTGTCACCTTAAATATAATGGATTCATAACACTAGTTATTTTATATTGTTATAGAAAAACAAAAATCTTGTTGCTTAACTTTAAAATATTTAATTTTGAATGTATAATAATTTTCGTATATATTTAATCAATTATAATAGTATGTAATTATTTGTATAAAATGTGTTGAACATCAAACATTATTTTAAAACAGAAAAGTATCAATTGTGAATCTTTTGAAGTTCGTACAAAAATATATATTTTTTTAATGTGAACAAGGTCAGATTACTTCATTAGGTTGTAAAACGTTGTAGACATGTCTCAAAGAAATTCCATGCACACATGTATAATTTAACGAGATGATATACATGTAGAGATCCACTAAATTTAAGAAAACGTTGTGAAACGCGCGCATTTTTCAAATGAATTTATGATGCGACATCATTTATAATAAACCTAATTTAATGGCCTATATAAATTAAGGATTTTTTTTTGTTGGAGGACCAAAGCGTGGATTTTCACGATATGCTCGAAACCCGCAGTTTCGGTGAGCCAAAAAGACTGATTAGTTTAATGCTTCGTAAATTTCACAATGAATGTCCAAGAAGCGTTGATAAATTAATAGCACTTTTACGACGTCCGTCCTCGAGGTCCCCAACAATGCGAGAGGAAAGTGAAATTTGGTATAAAAATAAACAGGACAACGTTTCGACACGCATTTTATTCAACAGAAGATCTAGGTTTTAACTCGGAAAACAATGAACGCGTTATCTCTTATCGGCTGTGTATTATGTAATTATTAGATAACGTGTATGAATTTTGCTGGATATTGCGGGGCCGAAGATGATTAAACAGTAATTTATTAACAGTTATCGAGGGTGCCCTTGCTAAATAAATCGGGAAAGCCTTGATGCATTCATTGTTTGATGTGCTCAATTGTTCGGTTGCAAAAACAAAATAATTTTGGATAGATAACGTGGATAATCCGTGGATTACAGCCTGGCATTTGTGTGTATTGCCAGGACTCCGTCCTCCTCGTTGGCTTTCAACTCGATCCTGGCCCATCCGTTCTTACGCACCTCAATTATTTTTCCGGTACACTTGGCGTTTATGATATTTCCGGTGATTACGTCGCAATACTTTCCCTCCGGCAATCCCGTTTTTAAATCTTGGTTCAAATCACCCCAATTTGTAAATGCTACGAATCCCTTGTTACCTCTGCTAAACGCAATTTGCTGATCCGAATTGGACCACCAGTTTTCGATTTCGGTTCCCTTGACGGCGTTCTTAAAGACGACCATATTGTAGATTTGCCTCCAACGATGCTCGCAGATCCAACCGTTTGAGCAAGTATCATCATTATTGATACCAGCAGAAATGATATTTCCTTGCGCATCCTGAGGAGGCCCTTGATCGGAGTCCTTGAAATCAAAGCTCGACATAACTCTGGTACTTCCGTAAGGATGTGCCAACATAAAGGCTGTTGCCATCTTATACTGCTTGGAATTCTTGTATGTTAAGACCATATCGCCTCCGCCTCCATGACCTCTTTGATTATCATGGTTATCGATGAAGACTAAAGCTTCATCGCTGTTATTAATCAAACCCCATGCAGGTCCCCAATTCTCTAAATAAGTCAACTTATCGTTTCCTCTAAAAACCCTTCCCAAATTGGCACTGTACTTAAACTCAGTTACAACACCCAACTTTAAATATTCATCGCGTTTGATGCCTTCTCCACCTAAATCTATAACTTCTTGGTAGATATATGGCCTTGACCCTGGGGCGAAACCATAGTTGACGCTCAAATTTTTAACCTGATTGTAAATCACTTTAAGATCTTCCGGCCACATATGTTTAGCAGCATCGACCCTAAACCCACCAACGCCTAAATCGATCAGGTTATTCAGGAATTCAACAAGTTTTCCTCTGACGTAGTTAGTACCCTGAAAAAAGCAAATATAACAAACCAATATTGGTTTAAATAATTTATAACCTGGTTCAGATCCTTCAATCCAACGAGTTCACAATCTCTAACTTCAGTAGCGTTATTGTAGTCGTTGATGGAACAATCAGGATGGAAATCGTTTGGTCCATATGGTACTGCAGGGTATTCTTTGCTACCAGGATTCGCCGTGCTACCAGCTGTACCAATATTTTGTTGAGCAGCCATGTGGTTTAGAATTACATCTACATAAATTCTAACACCCACCGCATTGCATCTCTTGGACATTTTTTGGAAATCTTCAACGTTTCCAGATCTAGTAGTTAATTTATAACTTATAGGTTGGTATCTCTCCCACCAAGGTCTATTTGGTACTATCACATTTTCATTTACAGGAGACACCTGAAATTCAATTTACAATTAAGATGTTAATAGACACGATTGGTGAAAACTTACTTGTACACCTCCATAACCTTTCTTCTGCAAAAATCTTTCGCACTCATCTGCTATATCGTTCCATTTCCACTCAAACAAATGTACAATACTGTTCCTATCATCCCAAAAGTTAGGATTTTTATAAGCTGCGACGCTCGTAAGGAGCAAAACAACAGTTATTACTCGATGCATGATTAAATCATGAATGATACAAACGAAGCTTTATGGTTGTTTATATACAGCCCAAAATGAATTGATAATGAATTGAGTGTCGCGTCATGTGACTTTACACGGTCGGTGGACGCCATCCAGCGGATTCCATTCATTTCAAATCGCCGCTGATTGGAATTGTTTCGTGTATTTTTAGAAGGCATACGGAGTTGCAATTTTATATCGAGTCATGTTTGCTTTGCAGATTCCGAATTTTTCAACATTCCATGGCGATGAACGCCACCTCTCCAAAATCCTCCTTGGCAAAACTTGGCCTTTATCCGCGCCAGAAGTCCCTCAAGGTCATGGTGCTTGGCCAAGGCGGAGTCGGGAAATCTGGTAAGCTTGTACAATTTTATCATCTTATATTGATCATTAATCATTCTAACAAAAAAAAACTATTTTTTAAATAGTCTTTCTTCTTAAACTCATATACATTTAATAACTTGAATTATAACAATTTTTCTTCAATTTTACCATCTGTGATCATTGCATACACATTTCAAGTTAAATTCATCAAATATGAACATACTTTTGAACATATTTGTTATCTTATAGCTATGGTAGTCCGGTTTATTACGAGAAGGTACATTGGAGAATACGACCCAACATTGGAAAAAGTTTACACTTTTCATACAGTTATTGACAACGAAATGGTGTACTTCGATATTCTCGACACAGCTGGACAACCACACGTAAGTATTATCATAAGTTAGAGACCTCATTAAATACAATAGCGCATATTCATAATTATCATATTTTTCTGAATATTGAATAATCATTTTTTAAACAATAATTATAACAGTCTAAAAATAGATTTCCTTTAAAACAAAAAAGTCACGTTTTGATTTACTTAGTGTTGTATATATGGTTCTATAACGAAAACCTGACAACTGAAATCCCGACAATCAAATTCTCGACATTTGAAATCCCGACATTATCAAAATCCCAACAGTATCAAAGGAGTCTCGGTGGAGGTTTCCTTGTACTTATATATTTGTTTAGACAACAGACTAAGACACTACATGGATATCTCTTATACATTGTTTGTATATACTCTATTAACAAGAACAATTATAATAATAATAATGGGTAGACACAACAATAGCTCATTTTTAAATTCATTAGTTTTACGTCTATATCAAAGAATAAAAGTTACTCTCGGGATTTCGATATTTGATAATATATTTAGGGTGACCCAAAATTATAGCAAGATTTTAATTAAATAGAAAACACAGTTTTTATCACAATCACAAAATCACAATCTGAAGACTAAAAACTGTGTTTTCTATTTAATTCAAATCTTGCTTTAATTTTGGGACACCCTTTATCTATATTGGTACTTCATTTGGTGTACAACTTTTATATGATTTTAGATATTTGTTCTATTATCAATCAAATAAAGTAGATAAATCATTATATACTCAGCAATATTAATAACACTTTAAATCACATCAAAATATGTGATTAAATTAAGTGGTATTAAGATAATTCTAGAGATGTAAAATTGATTAATATTATTAATAATAACTAGTATAATTGTATTTAAATAACACAGTGTTATTATTGTTTTAGTATCAACAAATTGGTGCGTCTTATACTTGATTTTTTTTAATATTATACTTAAATATACTTGAATTGCATTTAAACAAAATTCAGTTGATTTTTTTAGCTTCAAATAATTGTTTCTTTAAAATTTTACAAAAAATTGCGTCCTTCACACGAGTTTATTCCAAAGTACTAAAAATACTTAAATTACATTAAAATGAAACTTAATTATTATTAAATTCTATTAATTGTTTTGTGTTTTGTTTAAATTATATCAAAAGCAAGAGTGCTTTCTTTATATTGAATAATATCTATATTGTTAATTTTTTATTTCATTTTATCAAAATATTTTCAATGCATTGAAGTTATATAAAACTTAGTTGTTATTGGACATAAATATTATTATGCGTGTTGTCAATACACTTAAAACTAATTTCATTGAATTTAAACATGTTTTTGTTTGTATATAAGTAATTGACATGATAAGTGTTGCCTGATAAATCGTTGTGTCGATAAAAGGTTTTGCGTTGGATTAAATAATCGTTGGGATTAAATAATGTTCGTCAAGGGTGGCTATGAAAGTGTCTGCTCAATTTAATTCATTCCAATTTGCGAGGGGATTTAGTAACAAACGTGTATTGAGCATCCGCGCGAACACTAATTAACTTATCCAATTGACGGGATTACGCATCCCGTTGCCATCGTCAAAGATACAGAAGGAAAAGTGAAGAGCTTCCGACCCGAATTACAACGAGTTGTTTTAAGTGCTCTTAAAATATCTTAGTTGGCAGAGATCGCTGTCGTTGGCTTCGCAAGTGTTATGTTTACTTTTTGTGCACAAGGCGAAAATGTGTTTATTCCAAATTCTGCAATTGCATTTTAAATATAAATTGCTCAGAAATACTATATTAATTTATTATCCAGTTTCTTTTTTATTCTTTCTTTCATTTCAATTCATTTCGGAATCGAAAGCACCCCACCCCTCCCGCTCCTTCTCAAACCGACATCTGGAACACGTGCAAGAGATAAATGTTCCAAGGGGATAAGTCATAAATTCAGCGTATTGCTTATTTTTCCCGTTCTCTTAAAAAAATTGTGTTACTGTGCATCCATCATGTGTGTATTATGATGTCTTGTTATTCCGCAGGAGAACGAGTCCGTCACTTTTGAAGCCAACATCCGATGGGCGGAAGCCTTTATCCTGATGTATTCGGTCACAGACAAATGTTCCTTCGACGAATGCTACCGACTCAAGTTCCTAATTAACTACAACAAGAGGCGTCGTCGACTTGGTAGTAGCACCTCAAAGGATGGATGCCTCGACGTTCCTGTCGTCCTGGTGGGCAACAAGGTCGATCAAGCCGATGACCGAATGGTGACCTTAGAGGAGGGCCAAAGACGTAGCAAGGAAATCGGATGCGTCTGTTTCCACGAGATTTCCGTGCGGGAAAGCATCGATCAGGTATTGGACGGAATGCGGAAGCGGCGTTTTTTTTTTCACTCTCCGAAAAAAAAATCGATGTTTTATCTCACGACGCGCATGTAAATATTTATAGAATTTTCATACATTCGTTTATAGCGTAACGACGTCCGTCCTCTTGCATCATTTCGAAAATATATTAATACTGATTTGCCGTCTCCGAAAAAAAAATAAAGAGAGAAAAATGCGGACGATGAGGAACGGTATAAAAATTTGCTTAATGGATTATTCATCAGCTCTTTTATTTTTGGATTCCGCCCAGCCTCGCAACTATTAAATGCAACTTAATACCCCATCAATCAATCATCGGAGAGCAAAACACATTACTCTCAGCAAACCTGAGAACTGGAACAAAGAAACTGTAATCAAAAGAAATCTATATGTTTTATAAACTGTAATAGACTTCATGTGATTATCGATATTTCTGAATTTCCTGATAAATCTAAATTTACTTTTCACAAATACCAACCACGTAATTTTCCAATTTCATCGCTAATTGCGTGATAATATGCAAATATTAAAGCAATTTACATTGTGGCTTTACGCAACTGTAAGCAGTATCAATGGGGTTAGTCGGACAATATCATTCAAACCTTTTGTGCATTAAACACGAAAATTGTTGCATAATATACAATTTGTATTTTTATATTTACATAAAACGTATATGATTACTCAATTTGCATACGACAATGTTGTTTGTTCGTCGGTTTATTTTGTTCGTTTAACAAAATAAAATGGAAAAGTTGTTGAGAGATGTGATGCGGATGGAAAGAGCTCAATTGGGCTTGAAATGATGGGGAAGTCATCTGTATTTTTCCTCAATTTCCAAGGCGTCTCGGAACAATGCACAATCTGACACAGATTAAAATTAAAATCCAATTAAAATGCGTAAACAAGTTTGTAATCGATGTAACCTTGGTGTAAATTAAAGTTTTCCTACCCTTATGATAAATACTGATCAGGTTGTTTGTTTACTTTAGGTGTGGTCTGTTTTCCGGGATGTATGCAGATTCTGGCGCGTGCAAAGTAAATGTCCTTCGAAGCTGAAACGATCTGGAAGCGAAAAGGAACCTGTTTCACCGGATACTGTTAGATTACTGTGCTCGGCTACAGTATCACCTGGGAGTTTGATACCGGCCAGTTGTAGACCTTTGGGTAGAAGATGGACAGAGGTTGAAGCTGAAGAAGAGGACGAAAGTAGTAAAGGGAGTAACGCTTCTAGTCCAGGTGAAGCTCCTTTCAGAGGAAGAGCTTCAACGGATGGTAATCTCCTTCAGAAGACTTGGAAATGGAGGTATGCACCTTCATCTTCGAGCACTCCTCAGGCTAGTAGCTATTATCCATCGAAATCTGAAAGGCGTATGAGTATATCGATGCGCGGAAACAATGCGAGCTATTGACCTTCGATTCTCACACATAGGCTTAAATTATTTTTTAAGGCTTTCCTTGTATACCATTCTCTCCTTTTGTACATTTTTGACTTGTTTTTATACGAACGTTAAGCTGTTTTATTTTCTACGTGCTTTCATCTTGTTGAGCATCTGATGTTGTACTTAATACCAAAGAATCTATCGACCATTTTAACTGTGATTGTTGTTGATTGTATTTAAAGAAATGTATTTATAATAAAACAAAATCAGTGGATTTTCCATTCAAATCTAATATTTGTCTATGTATGCTAGTCACAATACTCTGGATTCGTACACGGTGATTCAGTTATATGCAACCCAAATTGCAGATCTCAATATCTAACTTAAATATGGAATATTGTCAAGTGTAAGAATATATTATTCACTAATTATAGTAAGTGTCATGTGCTGTAAAATTTAAATGTTCGACTTGTTACCTGTACACAATTAAAATAAATACGAAATATTTGGATATTTTGATCTTCCTTATATATAACACGAAGAAAATAGTCTAATTTAAGCCCACTTTCATTTCTCATTACTTTTATTATATAACTTTTACTTCTGTTTTTTTTTTGTACAATACTATAATTAAACATCAATCTCTTTCTTATTTTTTTAATTGAATGATTTGATTTGGAAAGTAATTAATATCTATTATGGCTTTGAAATGAACTCAGCAATTCTATAAATTAGTGCAGGATTTGTTAATGTATTTTTGAATTGCTTTCCGCTCTTTAAAAGCAGTACAATTGTGAACGAGTATTATGATAACCGTTAATCATCTCTGTATAATTGAGAAAGATGAAACTGATGTTAATTTGATAAAGAACGGGTAAAAGTATTGTGTACGGAATGCCCATTGCTTAAAACGTGGAAGATGATTCCAATTAGCAGAGCATGATTTCGTTTCGAATGCAAATTGATTGTATATCATTTGGTTAGATCTGTCGAGTTTCAAGACGCTAGTTGGATGATTGCACTACACAATCACACAGCGATCTTGCATAAAAAAAATGTTTCTTCATATTTACATCGCAAAATAAATGCATGTTTTAATCCAGAATTGGTTAGTACATTTCATCAATACTTAGCAAATATATTAAAATAATGGCGTCAAATTAAAATAAATTCACAATCTGCCACTTAGACTGGAAGCGTTGTAGGATCTGGATATTGGAATTGCTGGCTGTTCCCCAAAACTGGATGCCGTACGTCCACATCTGCTTCAGCACTGTCTTGTAAATTAATAGTTTGTTGTCGAGGAATAGTGGAGATCTTTTGCCGATCAGCCAGTACAATTTAGCGAACTTAATACCCAGTTGCTTCCTTTTCGTTGCGATGTGCTTCTTCCACGTGGTTCGGAATTAGACCCTCCTCGGACAAGATTGGACGGATCCTCCGGAGCAGCAACCTCTCGATCACATTGGACATCACCGGCGGCAGGTTGATGGGTCGGTATGACGTGACCTTCTCTGGATCATTTCCCGGCTTCGGTATGACGACGAGCTGAGCGACTTTCCAGTAACATTTACCTCTAGTATTTCAAAATTATTATCGTTTTTTTATATTTCAAACAAACATTTTCTGATTCTGTATATAAGAAACATAGAAATAAACAATAAATTGAAGAATTATAACAATTTCATTAAAATTCAAACATTTTGCAAATTGTAAATTAAAATAATACAATTTATATTTGTATTATATTATTACGTAATGTAATTTTTTAATTTAAAAATCTTTCTCAATTGTTTAAGAAAGTTTTATTTTTATCTACTGTGCACATCATATCTACCAACATCGAATTGTGTAACAGTTATTACATTTGCAGATTTTACGTTGATAATAATGTGACGTTACTATACAGCCAATTGCAAATAAAATATTATATATTACAAAAGAGAATATTAAACAACAAGTTACAATTGTCATTAACGTTAAAGTAAATTAATTAAGTAATTAGAGAAGATGTGATTAAGTTAAATACTCTTTAAAGCCATTATTATTATTCCTGATCTGGATTAAAAAATAATCTGAAATGGGGAATTTTAAGTGATGAATATAATTTATTTGTAGCAAAAGTACGATTACAAACAATATAACAAGATTATAAATATGAGCGGATAAATTGGAATGAAACAAAATATAGTATTTATCAGACTATAAGACGTGTGTTTTTAAGTAAATAAATTTGGATATGTTTGATGGTCCAAAGGTACAAATTTCACAAATTTAGGGTCGTTATAAAGGGTGAGTAGAATTTACAGAAGACTATGTCATATATTTGTTGTAACTTGGTTCTTCCATAGTTTTCTGCCGCCCTTATTTAAGGGTGCTTTTGAGTTTGTAAACTGGAATAGAGATGGCCTTAGTGGTTTGAATTTTTATAATAAAGGATTGTAAATATAAATTGATCTAAATTGCAATGTTCTGGTTGTTTTAATCAATGATTTCAATTCATTCCAATCAGTCCCAATTGATCGATTGCAGAAGTAGAATTGATCTCGTGCATTGTTACCGAATAATACTAATAATAATAATAAAGTAACAATACCGATATCGTGGGTGTACGTAATGATCCGCCCGTATGCATAACGTGCGGGGGTGGTATCTGAAGGAAATAAGGAAGGAGAAGGACGCGGGGGCGGTCCTTTGGCAGTGATGGGGTTGGTGCGCGTCTGCGGCGCGTCGCCGCCAACGCCAACGTAGGCCTCCGTGGTCCAGGGTTCGCGGGTGTTGCCCAATAAGGACCCACTGACGTCATCGGTGTGATCAATACCTGGGCCATGGGCCAGGATTCCAGTGCGAGTTGAGAAAATCCGGTGTGCACGTCGTCCTTGTGTGCCTCCAAAGCGAAAAAGAAGGGCTTGATCTTAAGCGTCCCGTGCGTGCTTTTGGATGCCTCCGGCGAGCGCCCATGTGTGCCCTAGGCTTTAGGACAAGGAACAGCCCCTCGCAGAAAACTTCCCTACGCTGGGGCGACTGTTGTTTGGCGTCTTAACGCACTAAACTAAATAGAAAGAGGTATATTTTCGTAAGCCTAAGAACGCGAGAGTTTATAAATATTTAAAAGAAAAAGCAGTGTGATAAAGTAAATTTTAAACGAAGGGTGCCTGATCGATCGCAGCAAGATGATTAACGTGGCAGGAGTGATCTCGATCATCCTGTTCTACATCCTGATCCTGGGGGTAGGTATTTGGGCGGGCCGCAAGAAGGAGGCAGGCAATGATTCGGAGGAGGAGGTTATGCTGGCCGGTCGGAACATCGGCCTCTTCGTCGGCATATTCACCATGACAGGTTTGATCCCTTTTCAGATTTTTTTTTCGTTTCTTTTCTTTCAATGGATCCGTTTTTGTAGCCACCTGGGTCGGCGGCGGTTACATAAATGGAACAGCGGAGGCCATCTATACTTCGGGACTGGTATGGTGCCAGGCGCCGTTCGGCTATTCTTTAAGTTTAGTTTTTGGGGGTATCTTCTTCGCAAATAAGATGCGGGAACAGGGTTACGTGACGATGCTGGATCCCCTGCAGGATTCGTTCGGTGAGCGGATGGGGGGTCTGCTCTTCTTGCCCGCCCTTTGTGGTGAAGTTTTCTGGGCTGCCGGGATTTTGGCGGCCCTCGGGGCCACTCTGAGCGTCATCATCGATATGGACCAGAAGACGAGCGTTATTTTTAGCGCGTGCATAGCGGTATTTTACACCCTTTTCGGTGGCCTCTATTCAGTGGCTTACACCGATGTTATCCAACTATTCTGCATATTCATTGGTTTGTGGATGTGCATACCATTTGCATGGATGAACGATAAGGTAATGCCGCTATCTTCGATGGAAGTCGATTGGATAGGGTCGGTTAAGTACGAGGAGATATTCTACTACATGGACTATGCGCTTCTCCTGATATTCGGAGGAATCCCTTGGCAAGTCTATTTCCAGCGCGTTCTCTCCAGCAAAACTGCTGCGACCGCTCAACTGCTGTCATTCGTAGCAGCATTTGGCTGCATCCTCATGGCTATTCCTCCTGTTCTGATTGGGGCTATTGCCAAATCAACAGGTACACAATGCAAAAATTTAAATAAAAAAATAATGAAACTTATATTGTTGTTATTTTACAGCTTGGAATGAGACTGCCTACAAAGGCCCTTACCCACTCACCCAAGATGAGACAAGCATGATATTGCCGATGGTATTGCAATACCTCACCCCAGATTTCGTGTCATTCTTTGGTCTCGGCGCAGTTTCAGCTGCCGTCATGTCTTCAGCAGACTCCAGCGTTCTCTCCGCTAGCTCCATGTTTGCAAGAAATGTGTACAAATTGATTTTCAGACAAAGGGCCTCCGAAATGGAAATCATTTGGGTGATGCGCGTATCGATCCTCATCGTCGGATTTTTAGCCACCGTCATGGCTCTGACAATACCTTCAATTTATGGACTTTGGTAATTATTCACGTCAACATATGTAACCACTTACTTAATCCTCGTCGTTTATCTCCTTTTTCCAGGTCAATGTGTTCTGATTTAGTATATGTAATATTATTCCCGCAACTGTTAATGGTAGTGCACTTCAAGCACCATTGCAATACCTATGGTAGTTTAGCTGCATACATCGTAGCGTTCTTCGTGCGTTTATCCGGCGGAGAACCGATGATGGGTTTGCCAGCATTCATTCACTACCCGGGCTGGGACGAAGAAGGCCAACGACAAATGTTCCCATTCCGTACAATGGCTATGCTTTGTTCATTGATCACCTTAATTTTCGTTTCCTGGTGGACTAAGTGGGTATTCGAGACCGGCCGTCTCGCTCCTGGTTACGACTTCTTCCATTGCGTCGTTAACATACCGGAGGACATACAGAGGGTCGGTGATCCTATCGAAGATGGTGAGCAAATGGCCGTCATGGCATCCGGGGCCATGGGGAAACTGTACGGCGCTGCCAATACAATGGTTGGAAAAGACGAGAGAAATGGTAGAATAAATCCGGCTCTTGAGGCCGATGATGATATTCCTGCAGGGGAAGTAGAGAAGCTGCGTAGTGCTATAGGATCAGGTGGAGGCGTCAGATCCGGCGCTAATCCTGGAGCAGTACAAACTACCCTCTGATTAGACTAAGAGTACAACCCGCCCAAATAAAAGAAGAAAGTAAAAACAAAAGAGAAAACAAAAATTAGGTAGAGTAGATTGTAACGTGGGCACGTATGTATTTTTGTGTCCTAATACGGGGCTAGAGCATCACTCCAACGAAGTCTTAATCTTTTCAATCATCGATGAAACAAATCCAATTATAAAGAAATCCCAAACCCCTCTGTTATTTAGTTTCAGAAATCGTATACATATCAAGGAATTGATTCCTAAAAAAAAAGAAACAAACCTAATACATATCATTGTTGCTCCTTAACACTTAAACTCGTCAAATAAATGTATATATATAAATTTTTAGCAGTATTAGAGAGTATATATGTTGAGGAATATATTATATAATTCTATAAAAAAAAAAGAATATGAAAGAGATAAAACTGTTTATATATACATATACTATATATATAAAGTTGTTATAATTTAGCAACATTGTTAACCATATACATATCTTTATAAATGTGGCTTAAATTTTATTTTTTATCATACGCTTCTTCTTAAAGCAGAAACAAAGAGAACGAGAGGAATGCATACTACTAGTTGTTGTAAATAAATAACTATGCACTGTCCCTCCCAAATAGAAAGTTTTGATCAAAAAAGTTTTTGTTTTGCTAGTACAAAACAAAAATAACGCGCACATACTTGGTCGATCGATGTACTATATTAAATAAACTGATGTCTTCTAGATCAATAACTACTATACAATTATAAATAATAATAATAATATCGGTGTGAATAAAATGGATGTTAAAATAATAAAAACGAACATATGTATGTAAACAAAAAAAGAGAGCAATTTGATGTACTAAAAGTTAAATAAATCGATAAACTTTACAATAGGTTCCAATAATCATTATTGTTGTTTTGGCGAACGCTGCTACGTTAATCATTATATTCGTTTATTAGGTAATTTGTTTAAGTTTGTTCATGTTTTTTTGTCCACATTGTTAATAACCATGAAATAAAATGATGAAAGAATTTATATTTGGTACCTATATTGTAAATATTGTACCGTAAAAAAAAACATAGACTGTTGAAGAATATATATAATATACAAGAGATGTAGCCTGTGTATACTAAAACGAAGGTGGAGACTCAGTTAGATGATTTATGTTTTGAAAGAGAACTATTAAAACCTAATAAAACTGAATACTGAAGTGTTGTATTAATTTTGATGTCCCCTCAATTTTAATTGGAATATATTTGGGAATAGAAATGAAGAGACGAATCCATGGAATATTATTGTTTATTGATCCGTTGCATAACGAATTGCTCCTGGCGCATGTCACCAGAGAAGTACCTAATTCCAATACGTGTTCATGTCTGGGTTACAAATCAATTGAACGAATGCAATTTTCATTAGTTTCTATTTTTGGATAAGGAGAAGAAAGTATAGAGTCAAATAATTATTTTAAATTCATTTTATTTATATAAAAAAGCGCATTTTCCTTTACAAAATATAATACTGGAAATATTACCATTATGTTATAATTTTTTTTTTGTTTATCAATCCATATTATTATTCTTTTTTTGTCGTTTTAATAAATAATTACTAAATCTCTACATCGTGTGTATGTTATTATATACATTGGTTGCGTATTGTAGATGTAGGTCCGAATTCAGGTACGTTTAATAAGAGTAACCTCCGTTGCTAGCATAACCTTGACCGCCGTTAGAACCACCGCCAACAGATGGAGCTCCATAGCTTTGGGAAGGTCTTCCGCCGGATCCGCCGGTTGATGGGGCGCCGTAGCTGCTGGATGGACGGGATGCGCCTTGAGATGGGGCACCATAGCTTTGGGAAGGCCTCGATGGAGTTCCGTAAGATTGGGATGGTCTTCCGGCTCCGTTACCACCGTTGGAATATCCTCCTTGGCTACCACCGCTGCTGTATCCTCCTTGAGACTTTCCGTTGCTGTAACCACCTTGGCTGCCTCCGTTGGAGTATCCTCCTTGGCTACCACCGCTGCTGTATCCACCTTGGCTACCACCGCTGCTGTATCCTCCTTGGCTGCCACCGTTGGAATAACCTCCTTGGCTTCCACCGTTGCTGTATCCACCTTGGCTACCACCGCTGGAGTATCCTCCTTGGCTACCACCGCTCGAGTATCCTCCTTGGCTACCACCATTGGAATATCCTCCTTGGCTTCCACCATGTCCGAAACCGTTTCCGCCTTGGCTACCGGTCGGAGCACCGTAGCTTTGGGATGGACGAGATGGGGCTGGAGCTGGGGCTCCGTAGCTGCTGGATGGCCTGGAAGAACCCCCGTTGGATGGGGCACCGTAGGTGGAGGATGGTCCAGCGGCGGATGGAGCACCGTAAGATTGAGATAGACGTCCACCTGAAGGAGCACCGTATTGAGATGACGGTTTAGAGGAGAAAGAACCTGAACCGCTAAAGCTAGAGGAGGACGGTGCGCCATATTGGGAGGAAGGACGGGATGGTGCTACTGGAGTTCCGTAACTAGTGGATGGTGGCAAGTAGTTACCAGTGGGTTTCGATGAGCCGAACCCACCTGATCCACCACCGAATCCTCCACTTGAAGCACCGCCGCCGAAACCGCCATGGCCAGATGAACCAGAGCTAGGGGCTCCGTACGATTGAGATGGGGCACCACCTCCGAATCCTGATCCACCAAATCCACCGGATCCACCGAAACCACCGGTTGCAGAACCACCGAATCCACCGGATCCACCACCTGGAGCTCCATAGCTGCTGCTAGGACCTTGAGGAAATCCACCAGATGAAGGAGGCAAATAGCTTCCGGTTGGACGACCGGATGGGTAACCACCGGTTAATGGAGCTGAATCACAAAATACATAAATTTATTTAAAACAAAAGCAAATTTTCTTTTAGCAATTAATTTACCAATTAAAAGAAGTTAATATAATAAAAAGTAAACCACATTTCCTTTTATTACAAGGAAATTACCATTATTAGCAATTATTGACTCTTTGAATTTTAAATTATAAAGTTAAATTTTCCTATATTTATTAATTGTTGAATAATTTAAATTAAATGTAAAGTTATTTTTCTCGTAGATTTTTTTTTAAATAATTAATAAAGTTAAATTATTTTAATAAAACTTACCTTCACGTTTGCTAACGGCTCCTCCGTAAGATCCGGTGGCAACGCACACCACAAAAGCACAGGTCTGCAATGAGTTAATTCATTATAGCACAAAAAAATAGAAGTAATTCAAAGATTGTTTAATGAACAAAATAAAAAGTAATGGAAAGTTTCTAACTGTGATTTTCACAAATGAAATAGCTTTCCATTAAATAATTGAACAAAAAAAAGAAGAATAAAATAAAAGAAATGTAAGTAAGTGTGCCAGCTCACCGCGAATTGGAATAATCTCATTTTGATGATGATAATTGGATAGTAGCTCGATACTAGGAGGTGCGCACAAAAAATGCTTCACAAATGTTGATCCGGAGTGAATGTCTTCAGCGAACTCAATGTCTGTGGAGATGCCACATCGGATATTTATAGGCCCTTCCGTCGGATCCACAGAAGCGGCTCAGGTGAAAGTAAAAACCCGCATCTTCACGGATGCCGCGTGGGAGGCTTACGTGGTCAGACCTTGTACGATGAACGATGCACAACACCTTGTACGAAGGGGTTGAAATCGATCGACCTTCGTATGACACAGAAAAAAACAAACGAAATCGCAAATCGCGCGGTTTTAACAAAAAAGACAGCAAAAAATAATTAAGGAAATGCATGTCTTAATTGCGTATTGTTTAAATGAAGAACACGCGTGTTCGTTTCTTTGTAGGTGCGATTATATGATTCTTTTTTTCGTTGTTGGAAGCAATAACTTGTGAACGCTTCCTGAGGGAAAAGCGGAAGTCCGATAAATCCAGGATAAATGGACCTTAACCGCAAGATTTGCTCCAATAAATTGACCACGCAACCAACCCCAAATAGACTTCTTCCCTTTTTTTTCTTACTCTCATCTTGTTTGACGTTCTTTTCAATTGATGCTGCTATAAATTACGCAGATACCCTACATCTTTGTAAGGCAATCATAAACAACGACAACTGTAAAAAAAGAGAAACAAGCAAATTACATTAATTCCAAGTTTAAACGTATAAAAAAACTCTTCTTTTGTTCCCAACAATGCGATTCTTCTCAACTGTATTTTGTTGGTTTTCTCCACGTCTTATACTTCTTATATTAACAACGACCATTAAAAGCATAACAACAATAACAAGAAAAAAATATGGTAAGAAATTTCTAAGTCCTCTTTTCTTAAAAACAAAATAAAAGAGTCGAGCAATATTACTCGAGCGTTTTCTATTTAATTCCAAATTTCTTTACATTCTTTAATTATTCTTTTTAATAATCTTCATTTATTTAATAATTTCTAGATACATTTTTATCTTTCAATTAATTATTTATTAATAAAGAAAATATCTCTTTTCATTAATTTCGTAATTGTAACTGTAGCATGCTTATTTTGATATTTATTATGCATTATACAAAATAATATAAATAATTTAAATTATTGTTATTTTAAAAAACTTATTAATATTTATATATTTTTTACAAAAAATAGGTTAAGATAGGCGTTGTGATTAATAATAATAATTATTATTATTAATATTATAAGTTAAGGTAAATTTTACTTTCAAATGAAATACTTTAAAACTATTAAGATTTTGTTTAAACACATTAATTAAACTTTTGACATTGTTGTTCTATATTTAAACAGATTATTTGTTCTATTATTATAATTTGTAAATTTCTTCAAATAAAATATTTAAAATATTCTCTTGAACTAATAATATAATAATTTCTAAAGCACTTACTTTTAATCAAATTTTACATTTTAATAAAATCTCTGTTCAATTATTATATTTGTTAAGTTTTTTTTCAAATATCTCTTTTATTCTTACAAATTGAATACAGTAAAAATACAACAAAATTTATAACAAAAACAATTTTTTTTATAATTAATAATCACTGTTACTCATTGTGTGAAAAATAACATTAGAATTGAACTAATAATGTATTAGTTGTTAAACCATTACTCTAAATTAAAAAAAATATATTTTAAACTGTTATAAATATTAAAGTTTCTTCAAATATCTTTTTTGTTATTAGAAATTTAATATTTAATTTAATTCAGCAAAAGTACAACATAATTATATAATAAATAATGACACTTGATGTAGTGTTACACGTTCATATAGGGTCAAATATGATTATATAATAAAATATCTTCTAATAACTAATATAATAAGGTTAAATTGATAACTTTTTAATACATTTTATTTACTTACATTAGCTTTTTATTTATATTCAATTTCTAATAATTTCTCTATTATTATTTTCATATACTAATTCATTATTGACTAATTTATTTATATTTCAAAGAATCTAGTATTTTAATTGTAATTATATAGATTAAACTAATTGCATTTTCAATATTGACGAGCAATTAAATTTTTTTATTTTCATTTGTTTACTATAATTACAAAGTAATCCTAATTAATTATATTCTCGTATAAATATATCATTAAGTATTATTGATAAACAATTACATAAATTTAGGAACATTTACTATATATTTTGAGACTAATTTTCCAATTAGTATTTTTTTGGTAATCAAAAGAATACACAGTTTCTAAAATTTTGTCATGTTAAAAAAAATATTACAGCAAATTTCCTTAATATATATTTGTTAAATGCTTACTACATTATATAAAATATTATAATAATAGTCAAGTAAGTAAAACATTAAAGACTGAAATATTAAACTAGATATAATTTAGTTACATTCTGATGTTAAAGGATTAAATAATGCGATTTTATAAATAACATGTATTCCAATTTACATATATAAAGAAAAGTAATGGATTTTATAGAAATATTTTAGTTTTTGTATCTTTAGTAATTTTAAACATTTTTTTAATTATAATTATATTTTTTCTTATTGTATCATAAAAAAATACATTAACATTTTTGATATTCTAAATATTTTATTTAAATTTGTGAAAAATATCTATAATCAATTTAATTTTTAATGCATACAATGTATATATTGTTTCTATGAAGGTGTTGTTGAAATCTGAAGATTGACGTTAAACGTTTACTAGTAATGATTTAATTGAGATATCCAAGTGGATGTTCATCCTCTGTTTTTTTTTGTGATTGATTCCGAAGGTTGGCGCTGCTGCATTTTTTCCATTTCGGGCCTCGGGAATGAAGTCATCCGAAGGCGGTTGTAATTAGTGGGGATCATTTGGAAATGGATGCAAGAAGATGCAAGTATGCCCCCCACAGTTTAATTAGACGAATGGAAGCAATTATACGGCCTTCATCCACGTTGTTATATTAAATAATAATGGGATGTTTTGTGTTGCGGAGCAAAAATATCGTAACCACAAAGGGGAAAAAGTCAAGGATAAGCAATAATAAAAGTACAGAAAAAAAAGCTGAGCTGTTTTGCTCTCAATCGACAAGGGGATTTTATTATCGTATTCTAACGTACACTACACTCGCATCAAGCAGAACTTTGCAACTTCAGTTTTGCAACGCGACTTCCTGCTAACTGCGAAATTAAGTTATAAATATTTGGATAATGAGTTGGGTAATCGGATGTTGTGAAAATGATCTGCTAATTGTCAATTAAAATTTCTCCGAATTTGTATTACATAAAGGAAGAAAACTTTGTAGCCAACTCCAACATAGACTAAACGGTGCCAACGCCTTAAATATATATATATGTAAGAGTAAATCACACAATTTGTAGTATTGCCAACAATCTTAATAATCATATTATTACGATAGTTTTTAGAAGTTAATAAAAATATAACAAAATTATATTTATTTTCTAAATTTATTGCAATAATAAAAAAATTAAACATTTTTATAACCAATAATAAAACACTAACTAAATACATGTCTACACTAACTTATTACATTTTTGTTTAAATCATGCTTGTACAAACGGCGGCCTGCGGGCGTCACGTGGCGCAATCAATTTTTTTTTAAATATTTTAACTATATATTCTAAGTTATTTACTTATCACTAACATGATACGTCTTTGTATATTTGATGTGTGATCCAAAGTCTTCTTCCTGAATGATCCAGGAAAGTTAAACAATCCAAATATTAATTTGTCTATCACAATATACTATAATATAATATACTTTTTAATAATTATTTAATGTAAAAAAAAAATATTATTTGTAATATTAATTGATTAATATTAATTTTAATCTAAAAAATAGGCTCATCTAGTATTTAAATATTTCCACATTTCTTTAATCCTAGGTGGTTTTATATTATTCTTAGGTTTAATATAAAAAAATATTTAAAAATTAATTTTCATTAGAACTTATTTTTACTAGACAAATTCGAAAAATGAATTGTTAATAGACAAAAGCCGTTACTATTTTAAATAATAATTTTAATACAAATTAATTTGTTTATTTGAATTTGTTAATTTTTACTTATTTTCAACAAAAATTTACTTAAACTATGTTTTTATTTCAAAATAATAATAATAATAACATTTATCGCAAAAAATTACCAGATAAAACTCAAGAAAATTAAAATCAAATTGATTTATTGCAAAGGTTTTTTATTTCTTTATTGATTGAATTTTAGGAAAAATATTTTTCTTGATCATAATTTTATTTCAAAATCTTATTTTTTTGAACTAATTGTTATTCTAATATGAATAGTATGAATTTTTATAAAAAAAAACAATATATAAAATTAATTAAGTACAAATATATTTAAATCTAATTTATACCAAAATAAATTTAAATTATTAATAAAAAAAAAGCAAAATATAGAAACACAGTCAGTATGAGTCTACATTAACGACAATAAGTCAAACTCCAAATGTATGCGATGATTAGAAAATAATATTTTCTTACATTCGGACCATAAGACGCAATTCAATTTTAAGTCGATTTTTCTATATAAAAGATGCGTCTTATGGTCCAAAAAATAATTAATTAAAAAGACAACGTTATTGGTTTAACATTCAACTTATAGCATTTTTGTCCATTTTTTAATAATGTTTTGGAATAATAACATTTTTAAGTTTTCTATAATCATTTGCATTTTGTATAGTTCGTACAGTTGTCTATACATTGGTCTGTTCGATCCTTTAATATCATCTCTTTTATGATTTGTGTACAAAAGTGGGTCGCACATGACAAATTAATTAGACTTGATTGATTCGAATCCGAAGGACGCTAACATCGATCATATACGAATTCATGTGATCAGTGTTCACTTATTTTTTTGTTCACCATCTACTCGCTTCATCCTGAGATGGTCTCAATTAAATTTGCTTTTTGTTCCTCTCTCCTTCTTTCTCTTCCGTTACGCAAGAAGAAAAATGATTTTTTTTCGCAAACAATAAAATCGATAAATTCCCTTTCACGTCGACGAACTGTGCCTACGAATTAATTAAGAACAAAACGTTCAAAATTCGACAATTAAAAACATCGATAATAAAATTGCAGCAACAACAAAAGACACAATTTCCA